CCCTCCCCCTCCCCAACCATGTGCCAAACGGGAGGCCCAGGCCCCCTGCCCCCCAGCCCCCCGGATGGCTCCCCTGACCCCCCGGACCCCCTCGGTGCCAAATGAGGCAGGAAGCCCCTCGCCCCTCCCTGGAGAGTCACCTTTCTCGGAACTGAACTGAACTCTTTGGGCCCGGAGCCCCTCGGCACAGCGGAGGTCCCTCCCCCCCTGCTCCCGGCCCCCCACAGGGGCCGCAGGCTTCGGGGACCTGGACCCCCCATCTTGCGTCTCCCCTCCCCCTCCCCAGCCCGGCCCCTGGAGGGGCCTCCGGTTCAAACCTTCGCGTGGCATTTTCACATTATTTAAAAAAGACAAAAACAACTTTTTGGAGGAACGTGGGGCCTGCGTGTGTTTTGGGAGGTGGATGCGGGGAGCGAGTGCCACCCAGGAGAAGTCCCCATCTTCACGGCGCTGCCTGCCGACTGGACAGCGAGGCTCAGAGCGGGGAAGGCCCAGGCAGCGAGGACCGACATCCCTGCTTGTCACCGTCCCGCTCTGGGTCTGGCGTGTGTGTCGCCGGACTTCGGTGGCAGCCTCCACTGATGGCTTCAGGGCCCAGGAGCAGCCACGAGGCTTGGGAAGGTGGCAGCCTGTGGTGGTGGCCACGAGCTGTGCTGGGGCTGGGGGCTGGCGGGGTGGGAGCCCAGAAATGACCTGCTGACCCCCACACTGGGTCACGACAATATCTCACACACCTTGGATCAGCACTTCCAGTTCCCCAAAGGTCAGGGGCCACCTCACTGTCCATGTGGCTCTGCCTCGGTTTACCTGTTTCTCCATGTGACCGTTCACCTCCCTGACATTCTCACTTCTTGTCTTCACCCTAACCACTCTGTCCCTTTCACTCTCCCTTGTTTTTGTCCCTTTAGCTGCCTGTCTCACGCTGCCCCAGTTTTGGTCCCCACTTGATCTGTTTTCCTGTCTCCCCGTCCAAGTCGCAGCCTCCTCCTCCTCGTCTAATTCTATGTCTAGTTCTGTTTCTTTGTCTGAGCTCCTCCCTGCCTGTACTTTTCCCTCCCTGTCTGCCTCCTTGTCCCTGTCATCTTTCTCTTATTGCTTCTGCCTGTGCTTCTGTCTCTCAGTTTCTCCTGGACTGTCTCTGCCTCCGTCTGCCTGTTTCCCTGTGCCTGGCTCTGTGTTTGCCCCTCTGATCTCTTGGCCTTGACCTGTGCCTTGTCACCTTGGGACCAGAAGACCCACTGACGTATTTGAGGGATGCAGTTTGGATGGGGGAAGAGGGAAGGGGGAAAGGTGGGCACCTGGCTGGGATGCTAGGGACTCCGATTAGGAATTAAGGTGATAAGGACATTAGGGTCACATGTAAGTCCTGGGGGATTGGGGAAAGGCGTGTGAGAGAATAAGGTGTGAGCCTCTCTTCGTGATCCTGTCACTGCTGGTACGCCTGGTGGTGCTTGAGTTGATCTTGGGACGTGGCTGCCAGGGTGGGTGCCGCCTGAATCAGGCCAGGGAACAGCGAGGGCTGGAACCCGGGGTCCGAGGCAGGAGGGGCTGGGGCCTGGTCCCCCTGGGTCTCAGGGGAGGGAGGAGCAGTCTATTAGTTCTCTAGGGCTGACATAAAGCTCCTCAAATTGGATGGCTTAACCCACAGAAATTTGTTTCCTCCCAGTTCTGGAGGCTAGAAATGCAAGACCAGTGTCAGCAGGGCTCGTGTCTGTTCTAGGCCCTTCCGAGAGCTTCCGGTGGGTGCTGGCAATCTCTGGCACCCCTCGGCTTGCAGATGCATCACCCCGATCTCTGCCTTCACAGCCACACGGCCTTCTCCTTGCGTGTCTGCCTCTGCATCCAAATTTCCCCATTTTATAAGAACACACGTCATATTGGATTAAGGCCCACACTAATGACCTCATCTTCACTAATTTTATCTGCAATGGCCCTATTTCCTAACACCATATTCTGAGATGCCAGGGGTTAGGATTTTAATATAAATTTTGGAGGGACACAATTCAACCCGTGTCTTAGTTGATTTAGTTCTGCTATTAATATAACAGAATACCTGAGGCTGGGGAATTTATAAAGAAAAGAGGTTTATTTAGCTCAGATTCTTTTTTTTTTTTTTTTTTTGAGACAGTCTTGCTCTGTTGCCTGGGTAGAGTGCAGTGACATCATCGTAGCTCACTGCAACCTTAAACTCTTGGGCTCAAGCAACCGTCCTGTCTCAGCCTCCTCAGTAGTTGGAACTATAGATGCCCACCACCACACCAGATCATTTCTTTTGTATTTTTGAATAGAGACAGGGGTCTCGCTTTTACTTAGGCTGGTCTTGAACTCCTGAACACAAGTGATCCTCCTGCCTCAGCCTCCCAACGTGCTAGGATTACAGGCGTGAGCCACCATGCCTGGGCTATTTAGCTCAGATTCTGATGGCTGGAAGGTTCAAGGTCGGGCAGGTGCATCTTGTGAGAGCCACCCTTAGGCTGGGAGCAGGGAGCAGGATGTGCAAAGAGATTGCAGGGGGCTGGGTTCGGTGGGTCACACCTGTAATCCTAGCACTCTGGGAGGCCAAGAAGGGAGGATCATTCAAGGTCAGGAGTTCAAAACCAGCTTGAGCAAGAACGAGACCCTGACTCTTCTAAAAATAGAAAGAAATTAATTGGCCAACTAAAAATATATAGAAAAGCCGGGCGCGGTGGCTCACGCCTGTAATCCTAGCACTCTGGGAGGCCGAGGGGGGTGGATTGCTTGAGCAGGGAGTTCGAAACCAGCCTGAGCAAGAGCGAGACCCGTCTCTACTATAAAATAGAAAGAAAAAGCAATAAACATATAGAAAAAATTAGCCGGCATGGGCACATGCCTGTAGTCGCACTACTTCGGGAGGCTGAGGCAGAAGGATCGCTTGAACCCAGGAGTTTGAGGTTGCTGTGAGCTAGGCTGACGCCACGGCACTCACTCTAGCCTGGGCAACAGAGTGAGACTCTGTCTCAAAAAGAGATCTCAAGGGAAGAGGAAGCAAGAGAAAGCAAACCAATTCCAGAAAGCAAGAACTCACTTGCCCCGGGGAGGAGAGCATTAATCTATCCTGCCGGATCAGCCCCCATGACCACCTTCCAACACTGTCACATTGGGGGTCAAATTTCAATGCAAGTTTTGGGGAGCAGTGCACCTGGGTACACTTCCGCCCTGCTCGCCTCCAAATTATTCTCCTTGCAGCAAAGCGCACCCACCCAGCGCAGAGGTCTTGAAAGAGGAGCCAGCAGGACCTGCTGATTGATGCTTGGGTCAGCTGGTGAACGATGATGCTTTAAGATTGTGGAAAGGGAATAATCAATAGTTTAGGGGCAAAATCAATAGTTCCGCTTTGGCCAAATTGAACTGGAAATGCCCGTGGCCCTGACAGAGGCCCCTCCCACAACCTCAATCCAAACACGTGGCGCCTGCTTCACGCCTTTGGAGGGCTCCCCATCCTGCTGAGAATACACCCCAAGTCCCTCCCACGGTTGACGGGGCGCATCATCAGGCCCATGCCTGCCCTCGGACCTCGTCAACCGTGCAGCGGCCGCGCGATCATGCCGAGGAAGGAGTGAGATAGCGCTGAGACCTCCGTTTACGCAGGGACCGTCGTGGGTCGATGCTTATTCCATTTCCCCCAACCTTTGGGAATTCCACTTTCTCATTTGGAACTCCATTTCCCATGCGCCCTCGGGGCCTGGCGGAGTCTCCAGGAACTACAACTCCCAGGAATCCCGACAAGGGCTCTCCCGCTGTGGCCGCAAGGCCTGCCGGGAGTCGCGGTCCCCCGAGCGCGGGGACGGTCGCGCCATAGGCCGGGTGGCGGTGTTATTGCGCTCGGGGCCCTTCAGGCCGGCGGTGCCCGTGGCCAAGGGCTGGGCAGGACAGAGGCCCGAGACTGGGAAGCGCCCTACCCCGCCACTGTACTCAACGGGGGCGACACCTCCGAGACGCAGTGGCCGGGACCACAATTCCCGCCGCCTCGCCTTGTGGCGACAGGCGCATCCTGGCCCCAGAGCCCCCGCCATGAGTTGTAGTTTCCTCTTACAGGTTTTCCGGCTCAAAGGAGGGCGTGGAGAGTGGCCTGAGGTCTCCCTACCCGCCAACCCACCCTTTTGGGGGTCCACCGCCCTTGTTCTTTGGAGACACCAGCATACCCCAACTGGAGGGCAAAAGGGCACAGGCCCGAATCCAGGACTCAAGGGTGTCCCACACTCCAAGATCGCACTTTCAAACAGTCGGTCCTCACATTTCTGAGGCTGTCAGATTCCTGGTTAAAGAGACGCTCAAAATGCAACTCCTCAGCCCTATCTTGGAAATTCAATGTCGTCCAGAGAAGGCTGATCTCGTGGGGGACAGAGAAAGCTGGCCCAATGACACTACCCCGGACCCCCAGGGCACCATCTGTGACTGCCCCAGCCCACTTCAGGGACATCCATCAGCAAGGCCTCACACTCACTGCACCCCACAGTTCCCCAACCCTCCCAGAGTGAGTACCCCTCCTCACTCTTCCAGCTCTAGGTTTCCCTCAAAGCAGTGGGCACAGCTCACAACCCCATCCGATATTATTTGCTGCTTGTTAAAGACATCAGCCCCAGGACAGTGAAGATGGGACTAGCTGATGGTTGTAGTATAACTAGTGGACGGCTGTCAAGTAATATCTAGAATGAATGCTAGACCCGGCCCCTGCATCCCTGCACTCTAAACCCTGTCCCCTGGGATGGCCAATTCCAACTAGACACTAACTAATTCCCACCTAATCACCGCCACTGGCTCCACCCCCACAGGGTTCAGGGTGAAACCAGGGTTCAGGGTGTCCATCTAGGACAGGCCCCGTGGAGCCACACTCAGGCAATGCCCTTCCCTCCAGCGCCCTGAGCAGAACCAGGCAGGCCCAGGTCTCTGTGACTGGCCCTCGCCCCCCGCCCCCAAGTGGACTGGCTCCACCCACACCTCAGCTCTGTCAACCCCAGGAAATGAGTGGGTCTGCAGGCTGAGTGGTTAAATAATTAATAAGATTACCAACAGCATGTTAATTACAAATAACAATGAGGAGCTAGAGATGGTGACTTTTCCAAACAGGGAACCATGATCCACAGCCCCAAGCCCAGGGGTCCGGCCACCCAGGCGGGGCAGCTCCTAATAAATAATGGAGTTGGGGGCAGGGGGTCAGGGCTGCTCCTGCTTCTTCTTGATGGAAATCCGCTTCTTTCTCGCCGCCAGCATCTCGTAGAACGGGTCCACACTCACAGCTGCCCTGCAGAAAGGAAGGGATCCCAGGATAAAGGCCAAGAGTCCAGGTGCCCAGCCTCCTCCTCCTCCCTCAGGCCCAAGGTCCTGGGTCCCCAAGACTCCAGAGCTCAGGCTCACTGGATGGACTTGATCCACTCGTCCTTCTCCTCCTGCGTGGGGGCCGAGATCCGATACACCATGTGGTTCCCCTCGACCACCCGGCCGTCTGCCTCTGTTTTGCAGGCTTTGATGAGCTGCCCCTTGTTGTTGGGGATGTAAAGCTCAAAGCAGTTCTGGGGAGAGAGGAGGGAAAGCTGAGGCCATGGGAGTCCCCCAACCTTGGCAGGAAGGGGTGTAGAGAGGCTCTTACCGGTTTCCGAGGGTCGTCCACCTCTCGGATGCTCAGATTCTCCAGGGGAATGATTCCTCGGGGCTCCTTGTCCTGAGGAAGCGTGTTGGACAGAATTTAGACTTCCAGATCTTCACCCCAGCCCCTCCGTCCTCAGCCCCAGGGGTCCAGACCCCCAGCCCCTCCTCCCGGGACCCCAGAGGCCAGCCCAGGTCCACCCTCACCGTCGTGTACTCAAAATAGTAGAGGCAGTTGTCTGTGAGGATAAACCAGCGCCGCTTCCATGTCTTCACCCGGCCCCCTGAAAGGGAAGGGGCGGGAGGGGGCCTGGGCTCAACGGGGGGACAGGGCCTCTGGGAGGGAGGGAGGGGGAGAGGCAGAGCGAGAGCAGGAAAGGCGAGGTTCTCAGGGCCTAAGACAAAGCCAGTGCATGCGAAGAGACAGGCAAGCCAGGGACAGGCGTGCTTGGGCCCCAGGAATCGGTGCACCCCCAGCTTGGGGAGCCATACTTCCTAAGCCTGTCAGCCCAGGCCCAGGAGCCTGAGCCCCCAGCCCTCTCCTCCCTGTCCCCTCCCAGTCTAGTGTTGAGGGGCAGGATGGGGTGTGTACCTACCTCCTGGGGCAGACAGCGAGAAAGCAGGCAGGACCAGGTGCAGAAGGGAAGGTGGAAGAATGGGGGGCCCCCAAGAGCCGCAGGCAACAGAGTAGGGTGGGCAGGGGAAGGAATGCGCAGGGCGGGACACAGAGAGAAACAGGCAGAGAGAGAGGGAGGGAGGGAGAGAGAGGGAAGAAAACCAGTTACATCCACATGAGGAGTGGCCAGGGCCTCTCCCCTCCAGGCCGGCCAAGGACCCAGAGCCCCTCTGTGGCAGACTGAACACCCCTTTGTGTCCACCCCCTAGGACCCGTCCTGGGCCAGGAGGACTCTCTGTTGCCAGGGTGAAAATGCTGGCGTCGCCCCCACAAGGAAGAAGGCAAGAACCCCAGTCCTTGGCCTGAGGTGGGCGTGGGGGCTCATCTCTGCTCCGGCACAAACTGGCTGTGTGACCTCACGACATGCTCTTGCCCTCTCTGGAGTCCAGCCTAGAGACCCACTTGGCCACACCTTCCTGTGGCAAGATGACCGATTCTGGGTTCCTTACAGGCCCAGGAAGAAACAGCAGTGACAGTGGGTTCGTGGACACCACTGCTGAGTACTCGTGACCATCACAAATTCCCTTTTCTGTTTCTGTGTTTTAAGAAAGGGGTGTCTTTTCCTAACTGCCATGAAGGGCACAGATGTGGCTCAGAGACCGAGGCCCCTGTCCTGTGCCTCTTGGGCAGTGGCTGAGCCTGTCCAGGGCTCAGCTGGGAAACAGGGAGAGCTGCCGGGGAGCCTCTCCTGGCGAAGCTGCCATTCCCGCCTCTCCTACCGGCCCACTCGCTGCACCCCTGAACTCCGAGGAATCCAAATCCTCGGATCTCGTGCAGGGATCCGCGCCACGGCATTGGCTGGAAGGTGACGTGCGTGTTTTGTAACTGCCCTGTGCACCTGCTGTGCAAGGACCGCCTTGATTTAAGAGCAACTCCATGTGGGCAGCCCCTGAGCCCCAGAGAGAAGCCAAAGCCGCCCTGTGCTGGCACCCCCATGAGAACGCTGGCCCTGACCCCCTGCATAGAGCTGGAAGCTTCCTCTGGGCTGTCCTGCTGCCACGGGAAGCCCCCACTGTTGCCCCAGTCTGGAATCCTTGTCACATCTGTCTCACTGGAGCAGCTATTCACTACAGCTCCACTAAAAACCACATCTCGCAAGCAGGTGGCACCTCCTGTCCCCAGGCATGGTGCCAGGCCAGTGGCTCTCAAACTTGGCTATACACTGGAAGCACCTGGGGAGCTTTAAAAGTGACTGATGGGGCCGGGCCTGGTGGCTCACGCCTGTAATCCTAGCACTCTGGGAGGCCGAGGCGGACGGATTGCTCGAGGTCAGGAGTTCGAAACCAGCCTGAGCAAGAGCGAGACCCCCGTCTCTACTAAAAATGGAAAGAAATTAATTGTCCAACTAAAAATACATATGCAAAAAATTAGCCGGGTATAGTGACGCATGCCTGTAGTCCCAGCTACTCGGGAGGCAGGAGGATCCCTTGAGTCCAGGAGTTTGAGGTTGCTGTGAGCTAGGTTGATGCCATGGCACTCACTCTAGCCTGGGCAACAAAGTGAGACTCTGTTTCAAAGAAAAAAAATAGTGACTGATGGCCCGCCTGCCCCTGAGATCCTGGCTTCAGGGGTCTGTGGCCTGGCCACAGTGGCTTTAAAAGTCTCCCACGTGTAGCCAGGGTTGAGACAACTAGTCATCAGTAAGGCCCCCCACGCTATGATCCTCTATGACCTGTGCTAGCTGACCCTGAATTTGCTGGGGCCACGTGTCACGAGGAGGCCCACCCTCCCATCCTATCCCGGCCAGGATTTCCGATTCATCCGAATCAGTCCGGATCATTCCCTCCCCAGCCAGGAGCCAATCCACCCAGGCGACAAGGCCACTGGGGGACTCTGGGACAGGTTTTCTCACTCATGTAGGCTCTTTTCTGCCATTGGGGGATGTTCTGGGAGGGTGTAACACCTGGGACAGCCACTGTGCTGCTGGCCTGGGTTTTCTCTTAACTGTAGTGGACAACATCCTGAATGAACACCTGCCACCCCCATAAAAACCCTGTTATCTGGTTGTCACTGCCTTCTCTGCGTCTAGATCAGTGTCTGGCACAGAGGAAGGGCTCCATAAACACTTGTGGGTAAAGAGAAGGGTCAAGGAGCACTTACTACAGCACACCAGCCTGATCCTGATTTCAGCCATTTTTCAGATGTGGAAACTGAGGTTCAGAGAGGGTGATCACTTGCCTCAGGTCACACAGCAGGTATGTGCAGAAGCTGCGTCTAGAGCCCAGGCCCACTGACCTCCCCCTGCAGAGGCGGCCAGTGGGGCCAGGAGGGGACGTACCCAGCTTCAGGAGCCAGCCCTCCCGGTCCGGGTTGAAGAAGGTGTGGGTCAGGTCGTTCCCGTCGTCCTCAGGAATCTTGAAGGGCTCGTTCCGAATGCTGTCGTAGAGGTTCTGAGGGGCGAAGGCCAGGTCAGCAATTCTAGGCCCCTGGGACCCTTCTGGGGCTACTCAGGGGGGCAGGGCAGTGAGGCCATGGCTGGGATGACCCACAGTGGAAGACACAGGGACAGGCTGGGGACGAGGGGGAAGTGGCAGACAGAAAAGTAGAGAAACCCTCAGGGAGGGAAGAGAGGAAAGAAAAGACACACGAATGATAGCTGGAAGGACCCAGTAAGTTCTCAGAATAACAGACAGATGGAGAAACAGACAGACCCTGAAAAAGTCAGGTTGAGACCAAGAAGAGAGACAGGCCAAGAAACTGAGGGCCGGACCCGGCTGGACCCGAGAGAAACGCACGAGTTGGCAAGATCATGCCGCCCGGGGTGGGGGGGCAGTCAGCAGCAACTCCGGGCTGACAGATCAGGCACTGGGAGACCCACAGGAAGAGGGACAGGGCTGACACAGGGAAGAGGGGGCCTGACCCTGAGCAGCTCCTCAGGCAGGTCCCCGCCCTCGTTGATGCCCCGGTTCATGGCCACAAAGCGCTCCAGGCCCGGCTTGTCCCGGACGTTCGGATTGTGAAGGCTGGTGTTCAGCATGATCACGGCGAAAGACAGCACGTAGCATGTGTCTGCACCGGACAGGTCGGGTGTGAAGACCCAGGCATGTGGGCCCCCAGTCTCCTCCTCCCCAGGACCCAGGTGTCCCATGTCCCAGCCTCCTCCTCCATCCGCCCCAGGTGTCTGGGCCCTAGTTTCCCCCTCCCCAGGACCGGGGGGCGCAGGCCCCACCTGTGGACTGGAAAACTCCAGGGTTGCACAGGCAGTATCGCTGGGCGAAGGCCTCCATCATCCGGTCAATCTTCTGCGCCTCTCCGGGGAGGCGAAAGCTCCACAGAAATTGCCTGGGTTAGGGAGGGGCTGAGTGTGGATGCCAGGGTTGGCAGAACCCCCACCCCACTCTTTGTGTCTGTGTTAGAAACTGGCCAGTGACAAAGCTCACCGCTCCTACAGCCTCCAAACAACTAGCAATGGGATTTCTGGTGATCTACACAGAAACAGCCTTTTCTTTCTAAGGTTGCTAAACAGGTTTGGCGGTTGCCAGGGGCTTCTGTTATCATGTAGAAGGAGGGCCAACACGGTGTCAAGCACAACAGAAGACAGAGCATGTTGGCTTTCTGATGCCATTTGGGCACCTAGATACAGCTATGCCTGAAGGAGGCCCTACCCGTGGACTTTTGTTTTACATGAGGCTGTCAATTACCCGGCTTTGGCTCATTCCTGTTTAGAGTAGGGGTACTTTCCTGCCCTTCCAAACACCCCCCCACCTCACCTGAGGGCCTGCACCAGATTGAGGTCGGTGAACTCATGCAGATCCACGAAAGCATGGAGCACTGCCAGGTTGAGCTCTTCCCTGGGAGGACAGGGACAAAGTCACACACAGGAAGGAGGATGGAGGGGGAGTGGACAGGAGGTGAGGCACCTCCTGGAGAAGCTGTGCCACCCCCTCTGCAGTGGGCACCCTTCCTGCCCAGCCCCCATCACCAGCCCGGCCCTGGGGCAGGGAGCTCAGAACATGCTCTTGGGAAGAATGTGTCTTGGGAACCCTGGTTTGTAGAGTTGGAAGAAACACAGCAGACACGTGTGCCACCCACTGTCACCTCTCTCAAATGATCCCCATGCTCCTGAGATGTCCACACACGGTCCCCAGACATCCACAGACAGTCCCCGTGTACCCCAGATGTCCACAAATCCCTATGATCCCTAGATGTCCAGAGGGTCCCCAAACATCTGATGCCCGGTCCCATGCACCCCAGACTTCCAAACGGCCCCCATAACTCCTAGATGCCCTTGGGAGCCCTATGCCCCCTAGATCATCTGCCAATGGTCCCCACACTTCCCAGCTGTCCCCACAGTTCCCATGAACAGCTGTCATCCACCCACGATTCTCATGGCCCCACGACACTCAGGAGATGTTCTCCACTGTTCTCAGACATACATGGATGGTTCTCCCCACGCCCCCTAGACGCTCTCAGATGGTCCCAGGCTCCCCCAGACCCCTGTCCCTCCTGTCCCAGTCCAGGCAGAAGGCTGACCTATCAGGGCCTCTCTTCCAGGGGGCTGCAGGCTTGCTCCAGGAGCCGCCAGTGTGAGGGCAGAGCTGGGTGCAGGGAGCAGTGGGGAAGGGCCCAGCAGGAGCTGAGTAGGGGTCATACCTCTCCCCCAGGTAGTCCCCGATGGCAGTCTTGTTCAGCCCCTCGCCCTTGTACAGGAAGCGGGCGATCTCCTCAGGTGTGTTCTGCAGAAGTTCATTCTCCACCAAGAACTGGATGCCCTGGTGAGTGGAGGCCAGGTCTCGGTGCTGAGGGCCAGAAAGCCCCTCCGCCTCCCCACTAACTGCCCCAGGAATGTCGGCATCCCAAATCACCCCCACTCTCAACAGAGCAAGGCCGGTTTCATTTTCAGGCTCTGACACGTCCTTAAATACCATCCCTCCCCGCTCATGGCCTTTGAACCACATGGCATGTTCCCTTTGCCTTTCCCTGGTTAATTCCAGAACTAAGAACAGGCTCCTGCAAGGATCAGGTGCTCAATAAATGTTTGTTGAATGACTGAACAAACTATAATTGCTTCAGACAAGAAGAATAAAGTGAGATGCTATTAGTAGAGTGCAGTCCTTCAAGGGCTGTGAACAACAAGCCCAGAGCTGGACTGGAGACCTCTCTGCCTCCCTCCGTGCTACGAAGACATCTCCATTACTGCTACGTCTCACTCTGAATCTTGGCGCCTGTGCCTAGGAGCTCCCTGAGAGCAGGGTAGGGTCTAACTCTTCTCTGGGTCCCAGCATTGCCCAGCACAGTGTTGGGCGCTCAAGAGGCCTCAGAGAATGGGCGTTAAGTGTTAACAAGTGAACAAACATCTTTCTTCTGCCTGGTGAACATGAACTCATCCTTCAAGCCTGATCTGAATGCCTCCTCCTCAGGGAAGCCCTCCCTGACTCCACCAGGCTCCCTCCTTTGGGTGTCCACATCCCTGGTACCTTCCTCTGTCATGGCACTGGTCAACCCTCCTTTGGGGATGTCACTTTGTCCATAACCTCTACCAGATTCGACCTCCTCTTAGGACCAGAAGTGTATCCAGAAATACAAGTAGAAAGGGGAAGAAGACCTTCCAGGCAGGGGACATAACACAAGCAAAAGTCAGGAGGCTGGAACACTTGGTTAGTGTTCACAGAATAAATAGACAGTCAATATGTGAATCCAGGGATTAGGACCAAGTCTGTCTACCTAGAACAGACCTGTAACCGTCAAACTTCTGAAACTTGGAGGTGCCAGAACTCCCTGCCTGGATGTCTGCCCAGCTGATCCCAGCCCTGTGGCCCTCAAGCACCTTCTTGGGATCCATGTTGAACTTCTTCCTGCCCATTGCCATCTTCCGGTTCCGCTGCAAGGTCTTACTGCAGGAGCAGAGAGCAAGGTAGGGGTGGGGGCGGAGGGTCAATGTCTGGGTTTCTCTGGCCCTAGATGGCCTCATGCCCCCCAGGTTCTCAGCTCTGGCCCTCACCTGCCCTCATTGGCCTCCAGACCCTCCACCTCACTCATGGCTTCGCTGAGCTCCTCCCGCAGGCGCTGGATCTCCACCAGCAACTCCTGCTTCCGCCGCCGGATGTTCTCCAGCTCCATCCGCTCCTCCGGGGTCAGGTCTGGGGGTTCTGGGGACCACAGTCAAGGTTTGCAAGTCAGTTCTGGGGGCTGGGGGCCTGGGTTCCTGCAATCTGGGGGAGGACAGCTGGCGGAGAATGACCTCCTGTGTCTAGTGGAAGAGGGGCTGGGGACCTGGATTCCCCAGTCCAGAGGAGGAAGCGCTGGGACTCTAGACTCTAGAGACCTGGCGGGGGGAGGGCACTTATGGCCCGGATTCCCAAGTCTGAGGGAGAAGGGAATGAGAGCCTGTGCTCTAGGAGGCAGAAATTCTGGGTCCATTACTTGGGAGGGGGCTGAGGCCTTGGTTTGGACTGGACTGCATTACGAGCCAGGTAGCTGGGGCCCTGGGTGTCCGGACTTCTGAGTCCATAAAGAGAAACTATGGCCGGGGAAGCTGATGACAGCTTGTAAGAGTTGGAAAAGTGGGGCAGGGCATCGACGGCCCCCGCCCCGCCGTGGCGGGATCTCTGTAGCCCCCAAGATTCCTGTCCCCAGTCCCGCCCCTCCCCGCCCCCGGCAGGCGCTGGGCCCGGCCCCTCCAGCGGGAATGGTTCCGCCGCGGCCTCGCCTCCAGCGCTCCATCCCGCCCCCTCCCGCCGCCACCGGAAACAGGCTCAGCCCAAACAATGGCCTGGAACGCCCCGCTCTCGGGCCCCGCCGGAAGCCCTTCCAGGGCCCCACAAAAGCGACGCTACGACAGGGACGAACGGCTCCGCGCGGCGCGCCCGGGGAGGGAAAGTTCGCGGCGGAACGTTCAGGAGAAAACGCTCTATCCGCTCCCAGCCGGCCCCGCCCCTCCCGACCTACCGTACACACCGTCCTCCATGGCGGCTAGGAAGGCCCGCGGGGAGTCCGGGGCGGTCCCGCCGGTCGGGCCTGGATCCGCGTTGGCCCGCGGGCTCGGGTGAGCCCGCTCAAACGCCCCGGGAGCCACCGCCGCCTCCTCAGCGCCAGTCCTCAGCGCTGAAAAGACTCTGCCTTCGCCGCCCAACCGCCCCGCCAGTAGGGACCGCCCCTCTTTTTGACACTGTCCAATCCACGGTGGGCCCTTCCGTCTGCTCCGCCCCCGCCACCACAGGATAGTCCTCCAGGGCCAATAGGCGCACAAAGAGCACATGTAGGCATGTCTGACCGGAGGTAGACGGCCTGTGGGACCAATTGGAGTGCAGGCAAATCTCCAGGCCCCGCCTCCAAAGCAAATAAAAGCATTTGATGGACGTGTCCTCCAATGAGAAGCCTCGGAAAGGGATGGCATGGAGGTGGAGCTATGTGGAGCGAAAGGACTGCGCCTGTGCAAGGGCTCCGGGCACTATGAGACTAGGTCAACTGAGCCCCGCCTCTACTAATACGTTGCTAGGAGGCGGTACTTTATTGGCCTTGTTGCCAGGGGGCGGGGACGCAACTGTCGGTTGTTTTCGTGAGCCACACCTCCTAGGCCGGCCACTCTGGCTTTTGGCTGCAGATGTTGCCATGCAACGGAAGCAGCTTTGGCCTGCCTTTCTTTTTCCTCCCTTCTCCGGGTACTTCCCCCTTCTCTCGTCCCTCTCCTATCTCCAAACCCTTTTCTCGCCACCTCTCTTGACCTCCCCATCGACCTGGGCCTCCTCAGAGTCAAGGAGCGGTGAAACGGAAGACCTATTCTTTCTCCTAAATGCCATGTTATTTGGTACCTGTCATGGAGAAAAAGACAACAGCGGAAGGACAAATTTTGTGGAAGCACAGGCGCCGCCTTCCTGACGCCTTCTGCCTCTCAGGCTCCTCCCTCATCCCACTAACTCCTCCCCTTACCTTACCGTCCTCCTAAGATTTCTCCCTTTCCCCAGCATCCTCTTCCATGACAACCCCCTTTTCCTCAGCACCCTTCCACCTCTCTGAATCCCCCCTCCTCTGCCGCTACCCTCACTTCATGTTCCCCTGTCCTCGTATACCCTTGCCCTTCTTTAACTCTTCCCTCCTTTCGAAGTCCTCTCACATCTGAGGCCTCTTCCCTTCCCCAGCCTCTCTTGCATTACTTGCAAGGAAAAAGGATTCTGGACCTGGCCAGATGGGGAAGTGGGGAACCCCTGTAAAAAGGCAGGCCATAATGGGGGCTAAAGTGATGTCTGGGCCTCGTCCTCATTTGCCGTCCCTGGGCTGGGCAGGTGGAGATGGATTCAGGGCCAGGACCTGGTTAAGCTGTTGGATTAGACACAGAGACTCCTAATCCCTTCACTGACCTTTATGAGTGGCCCAGGTCCTGCCCTCCCCCGTGGAGACCAAGGCTGTCTTAGCCCTGCCCCTACCCCCTCCTTCCAAACAGAACCCCCTTCCTGCTTTTTCACCTCCAACTTAGCACCCTTCCCCAGCCTTGTGTTTCCATTGCCCCAGTCCCTACCGCAGACACTCTGAGCTGGGACAGCAGCCAGCTAATTAATCCCATCCGGTTATTACGTGGGGATTCTGAAGGATAAAGGGAGATGGAGACGCCAGAGGGGGGGGACTTGGGTTGATGCAGCACTTGGGCAGGCTGATGAGCAATGGCAGTGCCTGCCCTTGGTCTGGAATACAGGGGTGAGAACATGTCTTCCTTCCTGGCATTGGCTTCTTCTGCAGCTGGCTTCCAGCCTACTGGGCACTTAGGTAGATGGCAATATGGGCAGGGGGCCAGGCCCAAAGACCCATATGTGAGAAACACACGGACACAGCCACCAGGGCTTCCAGTTCTTTAATCTGGGGGACAGATATCCCCCCCCAAAACACCCATTTTCCCACAGTAGGACCATCCCTGGCATTTAAGGCTACCTCCTCCTTCCCAAGATCCCCAAGATAGACCATGGAGGAAGTGACCATGGCTGTTAGCCACAGCCCCTGCTACCCTTGCCTGTGATTTAGACACCCAAGTTCAGAGCATCTTCCATCCCAGCTGCCCTTGGAAGGCCTTGTCATCCAGCAGCAGGGAAAGCTGGGAAATTCCCAGGACCTGCAGCCATGCTCCACCCGCAGTGGGGTGAGGAATCGTCCCACTGGAAAGGCCCACAGAGAGATTCAAGTTCCAGTGCCCCATTTTTAAAGATGGGGAAAGTGAAGTAAAGAGAGGACAGCGATTGGCCCAAAGTCACACAGTAACTTGGGGCAAAGTTAAGATTTAGAGCAAAGCTTCCTTGATCCTTCAAAAGGATGCCATTCCAATCAGCTGGAGCTCCATTTCTAACCCTGCTGTAGAAACCAGAGGAAAAAATAGATAGATATCTGTATTTATATTATATATATAATACACATTTGTATAATATAACATCTTCAGGAAATAGACACACATCACTAGGTGCAGGATTCCAGAACACTCTAGACTCACCAGCCTTGGGCCTCCCCTTTCCATTACCCACTAATTAATTAGCCCTGTGACCCACAGGGTCTCACCTGAACCCTCACCTTCTAGGTCAGCCCAGAAATGCTGCTCATCAAGTCCGGAGTTCACCTCCCAGAACTGCTGAGCAGTCCACCGGGAGGTAACTAGAATGTCCAGGCTTTGGTAATGGAAAACTCTGGATCCCTGGAGCCTTAATTCCTTTTGGCATTACAGAAGCACAAGAAGTCATCTAGAATCATCATGATTCTCACTCCCATTGGGCAAACTGGAACCAGCAAATCTCAGACATCTAGAATCGCTACTCCTTCCTTGACTTTTTGATTAAGCTAGAGCCACAGAATCCTGATTCCTTATGGACATTCTAGAATGGCACTTAAAAGAAAACCACCACCCTGTGGATCATTCAGAAGCACTGCTCATTCTCTTCAGCCGGATGCTCTATAACCAGAAGTTGGAGTTATCTAATATAAAGAACTCCTGGTCTGCCACTTTAGCCGTTTTAACCCACAAACTCACCATTGTTTTATGCATTCTAGAAACATAACTCTAGTTTCTGGAGTAATTCAACTCTCTAGACAAAACCTGTTCTAGAATCACCAGTGCTTGTCTCTGTGGTCAACCTAGACTCACAGAATCTCAATTGTTGGGCTTTCTGGAACCACAGGTCTTTTCTTGACTTGCAGTCACCATTCCTTGTCTTTGGTCAATCAAGACAGTCTTGAATACTTGGGGGCATTCCACAACCTTTCCTCTTTAGGTGGTCTAGAACAAATGATTTGCTATTTGGTTGACTGAATCGAGAAGCAATAGCCCTTGAATCTTAGGTGAATCCAGACCTACAAACTCTTGATCTCTGATACTGTTAAAGAACTGCTGACTTCCTCCCCCGGAGGTGGTCTATACCATTGATTTCTGATCCTTCTCAACAACACAGGCCCAACTGTGTAGAAGAATCTCGAACCACCAGTCTTTACCTCTTGGGTGGTCCAGAATTCTGGATCCCTCAGCTCTGGTGAGACTCAGGAATTGGGCTCATAAGGGGGTCTCAGGAAGAAGCACAGAAGCAGAGGAATTAAGGTCCAGTCTGTCCATGGTGAGTCCACCAGGCATGGCAGAACCTCACCAGCTGAATATTTACCCAGCAGGCTTGTCGGTCTCGGGAAACACCCGCCCCCGTCCCAGGAGAGGGCTCCGGCTCTCCATCTTGCTACCTCTGGGAGGGAGCACAAACAGGGAAGGGGACATCAGCTTGCATCATGGGGGCAGGGTCAGCGCCAGGGTTGGTGTGAGAACTCGGGGGCTGCCAGCCCCATCGTCTGTCTCCATCCCATTCCCCTCCTTGGCTTCCTCTTCCTCATCTTCCTCCTGGCAGCAGCTTAGTGCAAGTTCATTCTCATAACAAAATGCAGCCAGAGAGCCAGGGAAGCTAGACTTGGGGCTTTGGGAAGCCCGCTCTGCCCGTTCGTCCAGCTCCTTGGCGCTGCAGACAGGTGTCCCTGGGACCTCGTAAGTGCGATGGAAGTGGCGGTAGTCGACCTCATACTGGGAGCCACGCTGGAAGAGGACTGGCTCAAAACGGTGGCCCCAAAGCAGCTCACCAGGGAGGTACGACGAGCGACACTGTGTGGTCATGGCGGTGGCTTCGACCATTCCCTCAAGAATGACCACCAGCTCGAAGTCTGCTCGGGCCAGCTCAGCACGTCCTAGCTCATACAGAGGACTGGAAGAGTCGATCTCATGCACGATGGTGATGGGAGACACGAGGAAGATGCGATCGGTACCTCCATCAAAGCCCACGTCCACATCCTGGTGGTCCAGCGGGATGTACTCACCCTCCGGGGTCACTCGGGGCTGCAGCAAAAGGCAAGGAGCCGAAGACAGAGAGCAGGGAGGACAGAGATGAGCAGACAGAGAGTGAGAGAAAGGAACAGACATGCAGAGAATGAAGAGAGCAAAGACCGGCAGTGGAGAGGGGCAGGGTGAGAACAGGGATCCAGAGAGACAGAGACACAGGGAGGGCACAGAGACCCAGAGGGAGAGGGGCCAGAGATCCAGGGAGGGGAAGATAGAGGTCCAGAGAAAGGGAGGTACAGAGTCCCAGACAGGTTTGGGGGATAGACACCCAGAAGGGAGAAGGAGAGAGATGGACAGACAGGACAGATATTGGCAGAGAGCCACAGAAATCAGCAAGACAGAGAGATAACAGAAGGAATTGAAGAAAGAAGAGAGGGATAAAAAAATGGCTTTCAGTATATGGCCAGAGAAAGATAAACCAAGATGACAATAAGGAGGAAAAAGGACGATGTAGGTCCAACACCCTGTATTCCATCATGGCCTCAGGCTGGCCCCTGAGCTATCCCCACAGCAAATAGGAACCGCTCCATCCCACTGTGTGTGTGCGTGCATGTGTGTATGTGTGTGTGTGTGTTGAGGGGGTGGCAGTGGTTTTGCCCCACCTACCCACTGGCTCCATACCCACCTCCCAGCCCAAGTCACTGCCCCACAGACTTCTGCAAGAAGCAGTGTCCCTCCTGGTCATCAATCCCAGTGTCTCAGTCAGGCGGGAGACAGAGGTGGAAGGTAGGCACCTATTCTCTTGCAACTGTCTCTGGGAGCCCCACGTAGAGGAAGCCCAGGGGCTGCTGGAAGTTGTAGTTCTCACCATCCCCCATCCTCCCTCTCCCCGAAGTCCAACCTCAGCCCAGAGTTCTTAAATATCTCTACTTGGGCAAGGGCAGCTGCCGCTCTAGAGTTTGTTGAGAACAGAGATGTTTGAGCAGTTTGATGACAATACTAGGAACACTAAGGGGAGCTGCTTCCCCAGGGGCTGATGGGATGTGTGGTTTGTTTTGTTGCTGAGAAGCTACCGTGTTTCCCCGAAAATAAGACAGGGTCTTATATTTATTTTTCCTCAAGAAGACCCCCTAGGGCTTATTTTCAGGGGATGTGTTATTTTTCCCCTCAAAACCTCAGCTTGCAGCACGGACAGGATGGCCGGGATCTGACACGCCCATCACTAGGGCTTATTTTCGGGGTAGGGCTTATATTGGGCAAATGCTTAGAAATCCTGCTAGGGCTTATTTTAGGGGTAGGTCTTATTTTCGGGGAAACACGGTACAATTCAAGACTCTTTCCCAACCCCCACCCAGTTCCCAGATGGCAGGAGGCTGGTGGGACAGACTGGCCACTGGGGTGGGGAATGGAAGTCTCCCACAGATGCCGCAGGACCCGGTGCCTAGAGCCCTGGAGGATTATGTCCCTTCCACAGTTCTGCAAGTGTGAGCCGCACCCCATGGTCGGGACTACATCTCCCACAATCCCACAGGGGCCTGGCCTCAAGTCCTAGGCCACCGTCTGTGCCACAGTGTCTGCTGAGAATTGCAAACCTGAGCCATGGAAGGTTCGCACAGGCCCCACCACCTGCAAAACTACGTCTCCTCCGACCACCCCGTTTTGGGTACTGCTCATGACCCAAAGGCCCCTGGGGATTGTAGTCCAGGGCGTGTTCAGGCCAGGCGTGGCCCTCTCAGGTCTAGATTCCCCACAATCCCACAGGGGGCCCATCAAGTCCCAGGAAGCTGGCTACGTGTCAAGTCCAGACCCTTCTCTTGGGCTCACATCCCCTGCCCGTGCTCAGGCCGCACCCGCAGGCCGCAGCTCCGCCCACCCGGGCCCGCACCTGCCGCGTGCCCCAGGGCCCTGCGGCCTCCCCACCGCACCTGCAGCAGCTGGGCCCGCACGTGGGCCTCGACCAGGTGGCTGCGGCGGAGGTTTCCCACGCGCCACATGAGGCAGAGGCGGTGGTCGCGCAGCGCCACGACGGCGTTCTCGCTGAAGACGAGAGTCTCGTTGCGCTTCTTGGGCTTGGCCATCTTGGCCATGACGGCGCCCACCACGAAGGCGTCGAGCACGCAGCCGGCGATGCACTGCAGCACCACGGCGGCCACGGCGGCCGGGCACTCCTCGGTGACGCTGCGCACGCCGTAGCCGATGGACGTCTGCGTCTCCAGCGCGAAGAGGAAGGCGGCCAGGAAGCTGGCCACCTGGGAGAAGCAGGGCGCGGGCGGCGGCGGGGCGGCCAGGTCGCCGTGCAGCGAGGCGATGAGCCAGAAGGCCAGGCCGAAGAGCAGCCAGGAGGCGAGGAAGGAGCAGGAGAAGAGCAGGCACATCCAGCGCCAGCGCACGTCCACGCACGTGGTGAACAGGTCGCTCAGGTAGCGCGCGCCCTGGCCGCCCAGGTTCACGAAGCGCACGTTGCAGTGCCCGTCCTTCTTGACGAAGCGTCCGCGGCGCCGGCCCACGGGCGTCAACGCCGGCGCCCACCCGTTGCGGCAGAGCCCCGGCCCGGCCTCCTCCTCATCGCCGGCCCGGCTGTCCCCCGACTCCAGGACGCCGCTCAGGCGGCGTAGGGCCCTGGCCAGGCCCATTGGGCGGAGGGACCCCCTCCACTTGGCCTAGTAGGGGGCAGGCGCCCCCAACCTGCTGGGACAAGAAACCGGCATGAACGTCAGAGATGCCATGAATGGGGGGGCTCGTGGGCTAGGCATGCTCTCTGAGGACCTTAGTGGCCTCATCTGTCAACTGTAGTCACCTTCCAAGTTGGAAGAGTACGCTATCAACGTCAATAATGCTATAGGAGATAGTTGTATTGCAACGACAAAAACAACACTAAATTGTATTAAATGAATAATTTGTTACTTAGATTATAGTGTTTATACAGTTTAGACACTGTTGTAAGCACTGTGCACGAATTTACACATTTGAGCCTCAGAGCAAGCCTATGAGGTAAGATGTCACCTAAGATCACAGCTAAGTAAACTGGGATTGGCAGGCCAGCTCCAGAGCCCATGCTCGGAACAGGGAAAGTGTAACTGCTTCTCAGCATGGAGTCAGCGTGGAGAGATGAGCCCCGGCTCTGAGATCAGCTACAGTTGGAAAACAGGCTCAGAAAGCAACAAAGGAAAAAAAGGATAGATAAATTGAATTTCATCGAAATTGAAAAACTGGTGTGCTTCAAAGGACACTATCAAGAAAGCAAAAAGACAACGGCCAGTGGGAGAAAATACTGTAGTTGCAAACCACATATCTGGGCCGGGTGCAAGGGCTCAGACCTGTAATCCTAGCACTCTGGGAGGCAGAGGTGGGAGGATCGCTCAAGGTCAGGAGTTCGAAACCAGCCTGAGCAAGAGTGAGACCTCGTCTCTACTAAAAATAGAAAGAAATTAATTGGCCTACTAAAAATATATAGAAAAAATTAGCTGGGCATGGTCTGATTAAGAACTTGCATCTACAATAAATAAGGAGGCCCTCCAACTCAATAATAAAAAGATAAATGACCCACTTTATAAGTGGGCAAAGGACCTGTATAGACATTTCTCCAAAGAAGGTATACAAATGGCTAAAAAGCACATGAAAAGATAGTTTAACATCATTAGTCATCGGAAATGCAAATCAAAACCACAATGAAGGCTGGGCATGGTGGCTCATGCCTGTAATCCTAGCACTCTGGGAGGCTGAGGTGGGTGGATTGCTTCAGGTCAGGAGTTCGAGACCAGCCTGAGCAAGAGTGAGACGCTGTCTTTACTAAAAATAGAAAGAAATTAATTGGCCAACTAAAAATAAGAAAAATTAGCGGGCATGGTGGCACATGCCTGAAGTCCCAGCTACTGGGAGGCTGAGGCAGGAGGATCGCTTGAGCCCAGGAGTTTGAGGTTGCTGTGAGCTAGGCTGATGCAACAGCACTCTAGCCTGGGTAACAAGAGTGAGACTCTGTCTCAAACAAAACGAAACAAAACAACCCCCCCAAAACCACAATGAGATACTACTTTACACCTACTTAGGATGGTGATAATAAAAAAAACAGTGACAAGCCTTGGTGAAAATGTGGAGAAACTGCTACCCAGCACTGCTGGTGGGAATGTAGAATTGCAGCTGCCGTGGAGACCGGACTGGCAGTTACTGGAATGATTAGACATAGAGTTACCGCGTCACCCAGCAATTCCACTCCTACATATGAACCCAAGAGAAATGAAAACAAATGTCCTCATAAAAAGCTGTATGCAGCCAGGCGCGGTGGCTCATGCCTGTAATCCTAGCACTCTGGGAAGTTGAGGTGGGTGGATTGCTCGAAGTCAGGAGTTCGAAACCAGCCAGAGCAAGAGCGAGACCCCGTCTCTACTATAAATAGAAAGAAATTAATTGGCCAACTAATATATATAGAAAAAATCATGCCTGTAGTCCCAGCTACTCGGGAGGCTGAGGCAGGAGGATTGCTTGAGCCCAGGAGTTTGAGGTTGCTGTGAGCTAGGCTGATGCCATGGCACTCACTCTAGCCTGGGCAACAAAGGGAGACTCTGTCTCAAGAAAAAAAAAAAAAAAGCTGTATGCAGATGTTCATAGCAACATTACTTAACAATAGCCAAAGGGTGGAAACCCAAATATCCATCAACTGGTGAATGGATAAATAAAATGTGGTATATTCAGCCAATGCATACTATTTGACAATAAAGAGAAATGAAGTATCTATCAATAAATGTAGCAACATGGATAAACCCTGAAAACATGATGCTGAGTGAAAGATGCCAGTCATAGAAGAGCACCTGTTGTATACTCCACTTACATGCAACGTGCAGAACAGGCAAATCTATAAATTGAGAAAGTAGACTAGCGGTTGTCTAAGGCTGGGGTAATGGGGTGATTGGGAAGGGATAGCCAGGACATGGGGTTTCTTTTTGGGGTGATGACAATGTTCTAAAAATAATTGTGATGGTTGTGCAACCGTGAACATACTAAAGACCGCTGAATTGGATACTTTAACGAGTGAATTGTGCGCTATGCAAATTATATTTCAGTGAATTGATTATAAAATAAATAAATATGTAAAACAGGCCCTCTGACCTTGGGCAACTCTTTCCAAGCCTTAGTTTTCTCAGCTGTAAAATGGGGAGATTGGGACTTCATCAAGGTCAGGGAGGGCTGCCTTATCATGCTGACCCAGGGCCCGGGTCGCACCCTTTCCTGAGCCTCAGTTGTCTCATCTGTGAAATGGAGGGGAGCCCAGCAGCCTGGCAGGGTGGAGGAAAGGAGGGAAGGGGCTGGGCACAGACCCGCAGACCTCACCACCCTCCCGCAACTGCAAGTTTAACACTTGGCCCTGTGGTGGGACTTCCAGGACCTGGCGGGGCTAGGACGAGCAGTAGCAGGGGTGAAGTAATTTGCATACCGATTCCACATGTATTTAAAGCACCCAGGGACTAGGTGCCCACTCTACCAGGTCCTGGGGATCCCCATGGGCTTCTTGGGAGGGCCTGGGACACTCCATCCACGAGAGGACTATTAGTCAATGTCAAGTTTAGCACCCACCTGCTGCCCATGGCCGCCCTCACAGCCCCGCCATGTGGGGGGTTATAGGACTGCTGGACAGGGGCAAAGCTGAGGCTCAGGTCAGAGTGGCCGAGCCTGGCTGTGTCCAGCACCCACAATGGATCCCAACCTTGACTCTTTCCTCACCCTCACCTGGGTTTTCGAGGTTGTTCTCCCAAAAAGGGGGCAGGTTTGAGGTCAGAATCCAGGTACAGCCTCTGTACCTGCAGACCCTCTCCAGCCCGGAAACCCCACTCCGCACCGGCCCCACCTCTCGGGACCACCCTAGATTGGGTGAGGGGGAGGTCGGCGGGACTCAACCGCCCACCTCCCCCTCAACCCTGACTGCAACCCTCTGACGTGGGGACTTCGCTTTGCACAGAAAAGCCAACTGAGATGAGTCCCTTGCGTCAGGCCCCTCAGCCGGGAGGGGAGTAGCAAAACCTGGACTCCCAGCCTGGCCTCTCAGGTGCCTAAGGCCGAGGCCTGCACCAGCCTTATCTCCTGTTTCCTGAGCACCTACTATGTGCCAGGCCTCGTGATGGGCTCCTGGAACACTCACAGACCCCACCGGACTCCACCAGACCCCGCTGCTCACCTTGACCGCTCAGGACGCAGTGAGGTCAAGATCATCACCCCTTCCACACTCGGGAAACAGGCTCAGAGAGAGCCGTGACCTGTCCAGCCCCGCACAGTGCCAGGGTGGGAAGCTGGCTTGGGTCCCGAGCCTGCCCCTCCCAGGACTGTCTCCTAAACCCTCAGGCCCCGCCCCAGCCCTGAGAGGCAGACCTGACTGCGTCCGTTTCACAGAGCCGACGGGGACCTTCACCTCCCGGGGGCCATCCGCACCCCACATGGCCCAGCTCCAAGGCTGGCGAATGCCACTCGGGCTCAGGCCACCCCCCTTCCCTGGCAAAGGCAGGATGGGAGGGAGAAGAATCCCGAGCCTGAAGTCCTCCCCCCCATCCTCCGCCTGACCTGCGAGAGCAGCTTAATGTTTCCATATAAAGGAGACATGGGGCTTAAGGTGCATCAACTTTGTGTCAAAGTCACTGTCTAATCTGAGGCCAGGAAGCCCCGCCCCCAGGCCCCAACCTCCTCCCCACCAAATTCATGCACATTCTCATACTCTTTCCCTGAAACCAGGATGTTCTCCTACTCCCCACCTAGCAGTGTGGTCTAGACAGCAGGCTGCAGAGCAGGCAGTGACAGGAGGGGGCTGTGGGGGAAAGGCTGTAGAAAGACAGGGGGACTCGGAGACAGGCGGGAGGAGAGAGGGAGCCCCAAGAAAGAGAAGTACCAAGACCCTCAAGGGGAATGGGAACCTAGAGGTGGGAACACAGACTGAGGTGAGGACACAGACCCAGGGAGAGAGACACAGACCCAGAGAAAGGTGGACACAGACCCAGAGAGAGGGGGGAAGAGACCTAGAGAGAGGGGAACAGAGACCCAAAGGGGAGGGAGGGAAGAGACCCAGAGAGAGGGGACAGAGACCCAAAGAGGGGGGGGAAGAGACCCAGAGAGAGGGGACAGAGACCCAAAGAGGGGGGGGAAGAGACCCAGAGAGAGGGGAACAGAGATGGGGGGGAGACCAGAGACCCAGAGGGGACAGGGGACAGAGAAGAGACAGGCAGACTAAAGAGCAATTGGGGAAAAGAGAATTGGAGATCGCATCTTGAGAAATGAGACGGGAAGATGGGATTGAGAAGACAGAGCGAGATGGAAGACAGAGATGAGAAAGAGGCTCTTTGAAAGGAATAGTTGGGGGGGGATTCTTCTGGGACTGGAGTCTGTCACTGGGGGCCTCCCTGAGGGGGCGACATTGAGGACACAGGGATGTGGGAGCAGAGGTGGCACGGCTAGTCTTATGCAGGGAGGATGGGGCGGCAGGAGGGAGGCGGTAGGTGGCTCAGGCCCGGACCTTGCAGGAGACACGTACCTGGCGGGGCGGCCCACCCCCATGCCCTCCGCTGGGGGCTCCTCTGCCTGGGCTGAGGGGAGCCTCTGTGGGTGCCGAGAGGGGCTGTGGTCCGTCTTTGGCCCCAGGGGCCCCGAGCGGGTGCCGACCTCTGAGTGCACAGGACCTCTGAGCCCACAGGCGGATCAGAGGCCGGCGGAGGGGGCGGGGGCGGGGCCGGCTCAGCCGCAGAGGGGGAGCCAGGGAGGACGGCCAGGCCGGGCTGGGCCGCAGCCCAGGCAGGCTGGATGAGACAGTGGCGGAGGAGAGAGACAGAGACGGGGGCAGGGACACAGACAACGGGGCACAGGAGCCAGCGGAAGATGGGGAAACAGAGAGAGAGCTGTGAGACAGACTAGGGAACAAAGAAACAGACATGAGATAATGGCAAAGGGGAAAGAAATGGAGGGAAAGAGAAATGGGGGCTCCCTGGTTCCCCCAGAGATGAAGCCTTAATAAGTCGGGGGCACAGGAGGAGGCAGCCTTTCACTGAGCCAGAGCGAGTTCCAGCGGGAATGAAATTTAGAGAAGGGAGAACAGAGGCACCCAGTGGGTTGAGGCTTGGGCCGCGCAGTGGCCTCTCCCAGCCTAGTGGCCTGGGCGCAGCTGGGTGCTGGATTCTTGCCTCAGCCCCTGGTTCCCCACAGGGATGCGGCCGAAGGACCAGAGTCTCACAGGTGCTTCCAGCCTCATTCCGGTCTTTTATTGCCCCTCAGGAGCCCCGCCGGAGTCCCCGGGGGAGGGGCCGGGCCCACACAGTCCCCACTGGGAAATGCCAGCCAAAGCCGGCAGGCACGAAGACAAGGGGCGGAACCACATCATGTCTGAGGAAGCCACTCCTCAAATGTGATCCAGCCACTGCCAAGCCCTGGGGATCCTGAATCTGAAACTGGGTCCTGGAGCAGGTGGCCAAAGGGTCAAGCCAGGTGTCACAGTGGACAAAACTCCACCTACACACAGGCCACCCGTATCCTCTGTCGGGGGCTGTGCCGAGTCTCCGAGTGGCAGTGGGTTCACAGAGCTGCGGTCAAACGAGTCCTTTGGCAAGCAGGGTCACTGGACCAAAGCCGGTGCTTTTAGAGAACAGTCCATGGAACAGAATCTGTCACGGCAGACGACGGTCCACACCACACCCTTCTTTTTGGGCGGGGCACTCAACAGACCTGAACGAACCCCTTCCAGGGACACCGACTTCAACCTCAGTCCCCAAGTGGAAGGTGGGAGCGGAGCCAGAGCGCGGGCCTCTCAGACGCTGATGGTGCGGAAGACGGTGAAGCCCGACAGCGCCGTGCTGACCAGGAGCCCGGGGCACTGCGGGTGCCAGTGCAGCTCCTTCAGGTCCGTCTCGCCCTGGTGCACGAACAGCAGCTGCTGGGGGAGGTCGGCCAGCCCGGGCTCGGCCTCCGCGTCGCCGGCCTCGGGGTCCCGCTCCACTGCCAGGTCCCACTGCGTGATCTGGTTGTCTGCACCTGAGGCTGCGAAGACCCCGCTGTCCTGGGGGTGCCACTCGACCGAGGTCACAGGGGCCACGTGCTGCTTGAAGGTAGCCACAGGAGAGCCAGACTACGGGGGAAGGATGGGCGCGAGGGGCTCTGAACACCTCAGCCTGATCCCTGGGGACCCGGGCAGAGCCCCCCAGCCCTCTCCAGCCTCAGGGTTCAACCAGGGCTCCACCCCTTAAGCCCCCACAAGCCGAGCCCATGAAAGGCAAAGTCCAGCTGTAATACAGCGTACTGCCTCAGGGGCTGCTGGGAATTGTGGTTTCGCCTGCAAAGACGCCCCTTCAGCTCAGGTCATAAAATCCCCACCCCTGCTCTACCCTGGGCGGTTCTCAGTTTCCTCTCCTGTAAAAGGAAGGGGTGGCTCTCTAACAGTTCTCCCAGCAGATTCTACAAAGGCCTTAAAGGGAATCAAAGCACGACTCCCAGAAGCTCCAGAGGCAGGCAAGCCAAAGAACCACAGAGAACGACAGCACTTTCACTGAAGCAAAGGCTCTGCTGGGGACCAAGGTCTCTCTGATTGGGAGGAGCGGCTCCAAAGTGCCAATGTCAATCAGCTGAGCCCGTGACCTGCTGGGCCAGGGGGCTGGAATCCATCTCTGGAACCTTCCCCAGGGCTGATTCTATAGAACCAATTATGCTGGAGGAGGGAATAAAAGGTCACATCCTGGCGCCCCAGGAAGCCATATGAAGTTACAGCTTTGTCCAGAGCAATACTAGAGGCTGCAATTTCTCCTCTCGGCTCGGCTCTACAAGGTCAACTCTCGGCTCGGCTGTTATGTCACATCTGCTCCTGTCCTTTCTGCACCTGCACCTCAATCCTCTCCTGCAATGAGTGAGCTGGGCTCGATTCTCAGCTGATTCTGTAAGTCCACTAATGAGACAAACTACAGCTCCCTGAGACAAACTACAGCTCCCTGAAGCCCCTAGTGCAGCGGCTGCACAGTGGAGTTGTAGTCTCCGCTGCCCCCCAGCGCCTTCCCTCTCTTGTCATCTATTCACCTGGTGGAGTGAATGACCTCATCTCTACCACAAAGAGGCTGGACTCCAGTTCTAAGGGCTCTTCCCAGCTCTGGTTGTATAAAACCATTTAAGGAAGGAAAAAAATCTAAAAATCCCAGTGGCTGCTGGGATCAGTAGCTTCTCTAGCCCCCGAGCATCCAGGTGGGACAATACCTTGAACTGCCGAAGGTCCCAGACCTTAAGGGCCCCGTCATCCCCGCCACTGAGCAGGAAGGGCTCCCGGCGGCTCCAGCTGATGACGTTGACATCTCCATCATGGGCGGTGGCCGTGGTGAGCATACAGGCCTTGCTGGGGGCTGCTCGGATGTCCCAGATGCGAATGGAGGCGTCCGCTGAGCAGGAGGCGAACACCTGGGCAAGGTGGAGTCTGAGTAACCCAGAGGTACCTCCCACCCCAGGGTGAAGACCCGAAACTAGCTGGGGGACTGCCCTCTTTTTCAGTGTCTCCCTTTGCCAGGACTTGGCCTGAGAACTGAATCTCTAACAGGCCCCAGCACCCTCTTCCCTCAGACCCAGGATTCTAGGTCCCTAGCCCATCACCCATCAGACCTAGGCGTCTGGGCCCCCAGCCCTCCCTCACTGTGTCCTCAGTCGGTGACCACTGCAGGTCCTCCACGGAGCTCATATGGCCCACAAATGGCCGCTGGTCCACGTGCCAGGAGCCACCGTCTGTAGGTGTCCAGAGATGGATGTTCTTTTGACAGTCACCAGTGAGCAGGCGACCTGGGAAAAGCAGTCAGGAGACAACTTTGTCCTACCTGGCCACAGCTCACTCTCCTCTCTGCAGCCTAAGCAGCCACCCTTGCTGCACCCTGTTACTTTCCGCCTCCCACGACAACGTGCACGCCCCAGAGACTCACCAGGCACACGAGAGGACCAGTCAAGGGCGAAGCCCTCGCCCATGTGGCCAGCGAAGGAGAAGATGGGCTTCACTCGAGCCTGCTCGTCCCGGAGGAAGGTTGCCAGGGCCTGGGGGTCATCTACCACCTGTAGGAGCCGCCGCAGCGCAAACACCTCCACCTGGCCCTTCTCTGACCATATTGCAGCCACCGGCTCCTCGCCCAGCCATGACACCTGCAGGGGAAGAGGCAAGGATGTGTGAAGTGTGGGGATAAGAGGCTCAGGGTGGTGACCAAAAGCTTCCTCCATCCCTGAAAACAAGATCTCTCTGCCTCTGTACGTTTGCTCACTAGGAGATCTTGTCCAGCCTCAAGGTGTCCAGTATGCCCTAGCCTTGACCTTCCTCCTGAACTCCAGACTCTTACTGCATTGATCATTCAAACATAAGCAGCTCTTTTTTCTTTGAGACAGTCTCACTTCTGTTGCCCGAGCTAGAGTGCCACAGCATCACCTTAGCTCACAGCAACCTCAAACCCTGGTGTTCAAGCAATCCTCCTGCCTCAGCCTCCCAAGTAGCTGGGACTACAGGCATGCACCACCATGCCCGGCTAATTTTTTCTATATATTTTTAGTTGGCCAAT